GTTCTTCACTGGTCAAGACTGAATCCGAAGAAAATTCAGATTTTCGTAATATAGTGAAGCCTACCTTATCGACTATTGCATCCAGCGAGAGATCGCTATTGAGTAAATCCTCAAAAAAAGGATCGAGATTAGGATGTGCCATCTGTTGAGTTAACAGAGTCGCGGTTCGCCTAACTTCTGAAAGCACCGTATTGTCATTTGTTTCCTTAACAAATACAGGGGTTGATGGCCACTCGGTGTGTGGTTTACATAACCACGTGGGCCCCGCCCACCATAACGAATTGTTAATAAGTTGTCGAGGAAGCTGTCCTCGCGAACAAATATCTGCAGGGTTATCATTTGTAGGAACATGACGCCACCGTTCAATCGTTGCAATGCCTTGTATGTGACTAACTCGGTTTGCAACAAAAGTTGTCCACTTTGATGAATGTGATCTAAGCCACGAGAGAACGACAGTCGAATCACTCCATAGAGTGACAGAGAAATTAATACGCGGAGCATATGCCTCTTCCACGAATTTGAGCAAATTCACCAATAATACTGCCGCACATAATTCTAGACGTGGTAAGCTGAGCTTCTTTAAAGGAGCTACGCGAGCCTTGGAGCATACAAAAAACGTGTGTACACGATCGCTACTATCAGTAACACGCAAATAGATCACAGCACCATAAGCCTTTTCTGAGCTATCACAAAATCCGTGAAGTTCATATGACACGGCGTGATCGATAGTACACCGACGAGGCACGAATAAATTTTGAATCGATGGTAATTGCTGAATATAGTCATTCCATGTGCGAACTATGTCATCCGGTGGTGTTTCATCCCAACCTATGCCAGCCACCCAAAGTTGTTGAATTAAAATTTTGGTGTGAATCGTCAACGGGGAAAGAAATCCCAAAGGATCAAACACCCGACTAACCTCACTCAGAATTGATCGTTTAGTGCACATTTTATTAAGAGGTTTTACATGAAAGACGAATACATCATGGGATGGATCCCATTTCAGTCCGAGAACCTTCAGTGTACATGGTTGTTCATCAGTAAACGATTTAGCTTCAACCAGGCAATGCTCAGTCAGTACATCGTCCAGTAGCTCAGGTTTGTTACTAGCCCATTTTCTTAACTCGAAGTGCCCAGACTTGAGTAATTCAACAACTTGTGACTTCACCTGTCGGGCTTCGATCATATTGTTAGCACCAGTAACAATATCATCGACATAGATATCGTATGTAATCGCCCTTTTTGCTAAAGGTAATGTGTCGCCCTCATCGCATGCGAGCTGCTGAAGAGTTCGACAGGCGAGAAAGGGAGCCGATGAAACACCGTAAGTAACGGTGTTCAGTTTGTACTCTGATACCGGTTGTCGTGAATCTGAACGCCACAAGATGCGCTGGTAGTCCCGATGTGTTGGACTAATAACAATCTGCCTGTACATTTGGCGTATGTCCGCCATAAAGACAATAGCGTGTTCTCGAAAACGTAAAAGAACTTTCGTGATATCAGTTTGACATTTTGGTCCAATTAGCAGTGTATCATTTAATGACTGACCAAGATTATCCTTTGCGGAGGCATCAAATACCACACGCAATTGGGTGGTGGGACTGTCAGGCCGTACAACACAGTGATGCGGGATATAATATTTTCCGCGACGCTTTTCTGAAGTGGGTACCAATGACATATGACCACTCTGAAGATAGTCAAACATAAATTCAACGTATTGACGCTTTAAATCAGGGTCACGCGATAATCTACGTTCAAGAGCATAAAACCGCCTCTCAGCAATATCACGAGATCCCGAGAACACGGGTTCACAAGAATTTTTGAACGGTAAGTGTACCACATAACGACCGTGCTCATTCCGATGTGTAGTTGCGATATATTCCTTCTCGCAAAGAATGTCATCTGGGGTAAATGAATTAGCTTGAGGAACGTTATCGATTTCCCAGAACTTCTCCACTAATTTTGTAAGATCATCATATTGGATCTTTGATTGCAGCGCAACCAATGACGAACCTGATAATGAAGTCTTTCCTAGTAATAGCCAACCAAAAACTGAATTAAATGCAGGTGGTTGTGATGGACCGCCCTTAAGTCGTTCTGTAAGTAACGAATCCGCAAAAATATCTGCACCGAGCAACAGATCCACGGGTCCGGGTACATCAAACCCAGGGTCCGCTAAATCTAACGATTTGATATGTGACCAACCAGAAGTATTCAATCTCGCGATTGGTTGGTCACCACAGATCTTAGGAATGACGTGCATGTCAAGTTCAAATGATACGTTTGTATTATTTGTCGATAAGCTTCCTACGATACCACGCACTAAACCACTGATGGAAGCTGACACGTCACCCAAGCCGCTTATTGAAGAACAAGAAGAAAGCACATTAAGATTTAAACGATTTACTGCTTCTTCAGTAATAAAATTATTTTGACTGCCGGTGTCAAACAATGCTCGAAAAGTATTGTTATTCCCGAAACTGTCCTTTACCGTTACAAGAGCTGTTGCTAACAAGACAGTTGTGTTAACACTTGAATTTTGTGTTAACAGTGATGAAGTGTTACTGGAATTTGTTACTTCCCTATGTAACAATGTATGATGTCTACGCTTACATTTTTGACATGTGAATACAGAATTACAAGTTTTCAACTGATGCGACGATTTCAAACAGTTATAACACCACCTTTTCTCGTTTACAATTGCCATTCTTTCATCTACTGATTTTTCGAGAAACGATTTACATGAACCAATTGAATGTGATTGACTACAAAATGGACAACTAGACGACACTGATCTAACGACACTCGACGATGCACCAGTAACCATACCGGTTTTAGACTCATTAGTTGCTACGAGTGTATGCGAAACGTTCATGCGCCTTGTATGAGTACCGGCATGAACATTCGACAAGTCACGAGAATTTGAATGTGGCTTCTGTTCGGTAAAATGTGTATCACGACTATGCGCTTCACACTTAGAATGCAAAAATTCACTAACTAATTTATAAGAAGGAATTTCGATATTCGAATATTTTTCTTCGAACTCACGACGCATCTTTGTGTCAAGTTTTGACAACAAATGGTAAATAAGAATAAAATCCCACTGTTGAACTGGCAAATTCACTTGTTTTAATATATTCAAGTTTTCATCAATCATATCCAGCGACCGACGAAAATCTTTAACATTATTAATTTTAAATTCAACATTTAAAATTTCGCGCCAACATGTAAATGCTAAGTCACGCTTATTTTTGTAACGATTAACGAGTGCGCTATATGCATCGTGATAATATTCACCGGTTACCGGGTACGAACGTATTAACGCTAAAGCTTCGCCTGAAAGGGATGATCTTAAGTAATGGAATTTTTCCAAATTATTTAAAGACGGACAATCATTAATTAATGAATTAAAAATATCGATATATTCAGCCCACTCCTTTATATGTCCTGAGTACGTTCTTAATGAAATTTTTGGAAGTTTTATATGAGAAGAGGTCTTTTGCTCCGATTTCGACGGTAAATTTGAATTTGTATAATTGCGTTGCAAAGCCAAAATGTTAAAATAGATATCATCAAAACTTTCACGGACACCCTCATCATCCGACTCAGGATCATCCTGTAATTCTAAAATAAGAAGATGCGCATTTTCGAAATCGGTAGTAATTTTTTGTAATTCATCACAATACGATAAAAATAGATCTAACTTTGTTGCATCCAACTTCGCGTCATTACCTATTTGTAATGCTTTAGATAAACGGTTAAATGCAATAGTTCGTTTACGTCGCAAGGAAGGCAAATCACGAGTTGTATATTCGTCATGTTTCGATTTAGTTCGTTTTGACAGGCTAAGTTTACGTTTAGTAGTGAGCGACATCTTTAACAAAGAAAAGATTTATTTCTATTTATAAACTAATGGAAACGAATAGATAACAACTCACAAGTAATGTTCGAGAATATTCAAACAAAAAAAAAACAAATAATTTTGAGGGTAGTAATGAATAGAACGTATGATGACCTAAATTATCACGTAAACAACTCTCTTTAACGGAACGACTAAATTATATGTACGTCGCGATAACTGTTACCGTGAAATTAATAACAAATGTAAAACCTTACAAATGTTTTACTATTATAGGATAGTTAAATGTTATGCCAGAGAAAAAAAAATGTTTTTATTACTTCTCACTATTACGAAAGGTGCATAAGAAATATAATAAATATTCCTATTAGTAATGATTACTTTTGTCACTACTAATACAATTAAGAATTTGTCTGTCTTGTTTGTATAGGATATATAATTTTATTATAAGAAAAATTATTACGATATCATTCGATAGTTTACATTCAACAATTACGTGAACCGATACTAATATATAAACACCGATTAAATATAAGATTGTTTATATGATTCCACACAATTGTTAAATATAACGATTTTGTGATAATAACCAGATTGGGAATTTTATATTTAATGTTTATGCAAGCCGAATTCTATTTATAAAAACATCAATATGAATAAGCTTGTTTTTATGATTTTACAAAAACATAAAATATCGATATGACAAAACCAGGTGAAACTATTAGTTAATTCTTCAAACCAAACCTACTCATTACAATGGCAAACAGAGAGTTACAACAGCGTCCGTATACCCACTTATTTTAGGAATAATGGATACCAAATTCGTATAATGAAATTTAATGATATTTAACGATTTATAAATAATTGTATTTAGTAAATATATACATATATATATATGTATATAATTCTATGTTTAATTGAAATATGTAACGTCCCAGTGCAATATAACTTATACAGCTGATCTGAACTATGAACTTTCGTTTGGTCGGGTTTTAATTCGACCGACGATTATCCCGGGTTTCGGCACCAAAAATGAGATGTAGCAGACACCGTGAGGCGGTGGAATTCGATCGTCTGCCACACTCTGGTATCACTGCAGGAGCGATCACAATAAATAAGAAGGATACGTGCACTTACTTGGATGGAGTCTTGTGCGACGTTCTGGTTCCACCTTAATTTCAACGAGATGCTTCGAAGAGTATTCTCCTGGATTTATCCTGGTTATTCGGTAATATCACGATTTGCGAGACGACAGACCGCGCGTATGTCAAGCCAAGTGCATGCGTGGGTTCACCGCGCAAACCAACTTACGATTGTGTCCGCTCCAAACATTACGCGCGGTAAGCGAATAAAAAATGCACAATTTATGATTGGGACGGTACAGTATATATTTTAATTTTCCCTTCATATCTTTCTTGTAGGCTGGGACTGTAGTCATGTGGAGCAGTTTCATTTGGTAATTATTTAAAATGTTGTCAATTTAGTTAGTCTACAGTTTTGCTCTTTAAACTTTGAAGGTAAGACTACACTGAATCTAGCTTCGTAATATGTTAATAATATTGTAATAAGCAGCCCAAATACTATACAGAATAATAACAATGCACACAATATTGTAGATAAATTGTTTTGGCTTCACAAAAAGTGAGATAAGTTGTTAGGATTAGATCCTGCGAATTTATATTTAAATTCAGACTCGTTGCCATTGAACCAGATCTACTGCAATATTTTGTTCTAATTTACGAATTCATTTCAAGTGCTATAACGGTTTATGTCAGTACCTTACAATAGTGGATATTTGAATTGATAACAATTATCCACACACCCACATTAAAGAGATTATTGTAATTAAATGTTCGTAATGTCTTGCCTGTTAGTGAAGATTATGTATTATAATGGCCTAGTATTTATTTTGTTTGTTTTAACTATTGTACGGTTGTGATTTCAATTTAACTTGATTACACATACGATTTTAACACAAAACAGTATCAGTCCTTGGATTTTTTACAAAACGTATTTATCACAAACTGTAGAAACTATCACTAATACTGGCACATAATATTAGTTACTTATTTTTTAACATAAAAACATTTTTGTAATATTTTATTACGTTAATGTAATTTATTAAGCAGAGCGTAAAGTTTATACTGACAGTGGCGCCGCCACTTTCGTCACAGACTGATTAAAAAAAGGCATTATACGAGCAGCACGCGAGCCGACCAGACGAGTTGTGAACAGGTTTCTAATATTGTTTAAATTTCTTTATATTTGTCTTTTATTATTTTTTTTTTTGTAATCGTTGGGTATCCTTACGGAAAACGAAATCGTTAAGTTTGTAGGGGGTACCATTGCCATATCTAATGTCAAATCTGTTTTTATTTTTGAAGCTTGTTCGGTTATTCTGACTGAAATATTTTTTTGGTTGTATTTTATTTTTTCAATGGTAGAAGAATGAAGAACCTTTTATTGTTATTATAGCTATAAAAGGGAGTAGCCCGTTATTTTGGACTTTGTATAATTAATTTTATATTTTATTTAGTAATTCAAAATTGAAAGCTGTCCTTTTTTTTTATCTAAAGTAATTAAATTATTATCATCATAGTAGTTATACTCGGTTGTAGAACGACCTCACAATTCAATCAATGAATCTACTTGCTGGCACCATTTTACTATTGTAAGCCTACGATTATCAGGATTGAAATCCGATAAATATACTTCATTAAGTTTCCGTTTGTATAGTTCTATTTGTTTTTGTAGAATATTAAATTCGTTGTTGCTAATTATTTTGGCAGTGACGCGGTCAATACTTTAAAGAAGATGTTCTTATCCTTAATGTTATGAATAATTATCACATAATAATTCTAAATAGTTATGACGTGGTTGAGCGTCATAGTCATGCTCACTAACATGTCGAGACACGTGGCGGAATGGTGAGACGAATCATTGGGCTCTCTAAATTATGGTTGAGTAGACATTAGTCTGCTCTAACCACTACGACTGATTTACTTTTATTTAGTTACTCAACCAGTTGTGTATTTCTTATTGTGAGTCTATTGAATTGGTGCTAGTGGTAGTTTGTATTCTTATCGTCCAGCTTAAAAATGTAAAATTACAACTAAATTATTCAAAAGAGTAACACGCAAGTTTTTTTGCTCATTTTTCATAAGACAAATTTCCGAATAGGCGGTAGATAGTGCTTCAATGTAGGTTTATTTAAATAAATGATTTGTTATTCTCAATGTCAGTGAATGACACGATGGTTTATTAGATTGTTATTAGTTTCTTGGGCGTGATGATCATCCCTCTCTTCTGATGTTAGAGCGGGGATTGATACCAGACAACTGATCGTTACGATAATTAAATAATAAACACTTTTATCAAATTCCAGAGATGTATTCGGTGCAACGGTTACACACAGAAAGAGAGTTATTCAATTACCGACCTCCGTATTTATAGACCGAATTCAGTGTAGTAGGGAGAGAAGCAGGCGTAACGATTATCTTATGACAAACAACTTAGTTCGGTCTATAAGTACTAGATGGCGCTATTTACAATATTTATAATAATCCTTAACTTTAATACTTCATTATGTTAAATATTAAATAACAGTGATTTGATCAATACAGGTCGAATATAATTAAATTAATCAATTAACAATGAAAATAGTCATTGTATTGAGTTTGCGCTATCATATATGTAAGTAGTATATGTAAATTATTATTATTTAGTATTAATATGCCTTTTATATTTCTCTAGTCCATTCTTGCGCCATCTACCACTTTCTGTCTTCTCTCCTCTACCCAAAGGTTGTCTGGAAGAGATTGCTTAAGCGACAAGACCGCCTTTTGTACCTTATTACTTATTACTTGTTTGTTCTTTATTTAATTGTTTGTCTTTCTGGTGCAATAAAGTGTTAATAAATAAATAAATAAATAAATTGGGTAAAACTATTAGCAATCCTGATTTAAAAAGAAAACTTGTGCATACATCTAGATCCTAAAGTATCAGTTATATATAACTCAAATTCAACATACTCAACTAACAAAACATTAAGAATTTTTGGACTTTACAACATCACTAATATATTTTATTCTAGAAAAATTAAATCTTAAAATACAAACTGTGGCAAACGTCAAGATAACTATATCAATATAGAAAGAAGAAGCGCACTGCAGTCTTAGCCTCTCCCAGAGGGAAGAAGGAGTAAGCTTATAATAATAATACTATAAAAAGTGCTGGACCGGGGTTAATTCAGTTGCTTGAAAGTTATATCATAAAAGAATAAAAACCCACAAACCGCAGAGGCGGAGGCAAGTGTCCATAAAACTTTATGCTCCGCTTTTTCTGATGTACATACATAAAACAAGTATCTTTAATCTAAGCTAGAAATAAACGACACATAAAAAGTGTCTCATCTTATAATTAAACTTGTTAAATGCAACTTCTTCTTAGGCACATCTTGCTTATATTTATGGTATAATTAGAGAGAGATGTTAACATGATTATAGTGTACAAGTATACCGGCGAAAAGGACTTTAGTATACATCCTAAAGAATAGATATAATTTAAAAGGTCCAAGAGCTTTTATTTTTGTGAAAAGAATGTGTAATATTGCTATTTAAGGAAGAATCGAGCAATAAGATGAATTTCACTAACCTAACTTCAGAATATAATTAAATCAAAATTCAATTGCCAAGATGTCAAATGGTAATTGTAAATAAGGTATAATCAAATTAAATATACGTAAAATATTAAAATAAAAAGACATAATATATTTTAAAAACAACCTTCTATTTTTATCACTTTTAATAAAAGGTAAACAGTAACTACCTCTTCATTGAATAATTGAACTGAATAACCATCTGATGCAAAAATTAGTTTCAAACAATTACGATATAAAATACACCCAAATTAGTTCAGTTCATATTAATCTATATTTTGAAATGAATGTAACAAAAGCTCGAAATATCGTAATTATATGAAATTATGGTTATTGCAATTGTTACAAATAAAATTCATATTATACTATTGCATATAATAAAAACTATATCTATACTTTCTGTATATTCATTACTCACTTTGTATACATTTAAGTTTATTACTGAATTTAAAAATGCAATAAAGAATATGTAATATATATCCTTGTTATATTTAATACCGTAAACCAGTAGAAAAAAATGCTATACGAGCATTTTTTTCCAAATAAATTTTAAATCAATATTGAATAAATTTTCATTTTAAAAATAGAATCTAATCCTATATTGTAATTCTACAATATATAGTAAATCTCCTTTTGTTACTAATTCCTTTTTACTTAATAAGCTCAGTTTCATCGGATAACACTTGAATCATCTTCGTTGGCTCTTGTTGGCTCTTAAACCGACTTCAGTCTGAGCTAACGCTTTCCAACAGACCTCTTTCTCAATATTGCTTGAAAATACAGCAAAAATATTATCTAAAGTGGAGTATACTTCGTATCGCTAAAAATGCTCAATAGTTCTTAGTTTTGTAGAACAATAACATGGATTTTGTGACCGTAATGGAAGAACTAAATATTTATTTAGTGTACATTCGTTTATAAACATTCATTAACATTATTATAATAGCGACAGGAAACTTTCTCAACTTTAAAAATACACCTTCAAATAACAATACATTGTGTGATTATATTGACATATAATGAATATAGAAATATATATACATATATCGATACAACATAAACCTGGTTAACTTACGAACAAACTAATATAATAGGCTTATAGCATTACAGACAACATGTAAACTAATAAATATGTATATTTATTCATAATATATGTAAGTGAAATTTTGCACTAATACGATACAATACAAATAAATACAGTATATACTTAGTTCTATTCAATTATATCAAGTTATAAAATACAATGATGGAATAGTTAATCCTGCATAAACAGTACACACGAATAGGGCACTAGTGCATTGTTGCAGGATGAGAATAAAGGGAAGTCAATTAAACCACTCTGAGAAAATACATTACGATTATCCACAATGCTTTACATAAGGGAATGAGTGATAGTGGACCAGTCAATGTACCCTATCTTGTTAGCAATGGGGCCACTAGTCCCCATTACTGGCAATTCGTACCCACCTTTATAGTCTAGTTTCAACAGGGAAATGTGGCAGTTAAATTACTGAGTATGGTGACATTACATCTTCAGTCCTTAGAAATGGTAATTTGTAAGGGTATATTAGTCGCTTTCCAGTGTCCTTAAGTGTTCAAGCATAGATGATGAAACCAATTTCATTTATTCAATCCCGTCTGTTTGTTTAAAGTTCTTATACTTATAAGAAACCTACCAACAAT